TGTTTGAAAGAGGAAAAAAGCTTGCAATCGTATTGGCCCGTATGTGCTTCTGTGCTTACGAAACGTGGCGGCGTAGCAGCTTGTTGTTGTGGCATGCTTATCCGTGACGTGTTTTTCTGCATTTGGTTGACCCCCGTGCGGCTCCATGTGATGCGGGGGTCCGTGATCTCTGCTTGTGTGCTTCGTGTTGGGGCTTGCCCCGTTGCAGTGGCCTTGTAGGAGTCTTTCCATCGGGCCCTGGCCCTTTGCGAAGGGGCTCGTGCTCTTGATGCACGCAATCGTGGCCAAGTTTCGACCACACGGAATTCGGTTTGTTTTTAACCTTAGTTCGGGTGATTCCCTTTGATTTTTTAACCTCTGTTTGTTTTTAACCATGGTTTGTCTTTGAACCTTTAACCTTTTAACCTGAACTATACGATATGTTGTGTTCTCTCTGGTCGTTCCTCCTTCGCTCCGCTCCGCTGCGTCCCGAGGAGCGGGATGGCAAGGGGGGGGGGGGCGGCACCGGCGGCGGCGAGGAGGGCGAGGGGGAGTGTGAGGAAGAGCAGCAGGGGGGCTGAGCGCCGTCTGCTGCCAACACGCGGCTGCCCCGATCGGGTGCGTCCTGGCCACGGGGTGGATGGGGTCCAAGCGAGGGCGGGAGCGTGTCCTCTCAAGGAATGGAGCGGGGCGACAGGCCGTTGCGGGCCGCGGCTGCATCGGCCTGGGAGGGCCCCGCCGCGGCAGCGCCCGCTGCCGCGCCCGCCGCCTCGAGCATCGAAGGGAAGAGAAGGCAAGAGGGGGCGGAAGGGGGAGAAGGATGAGAGAGAGGAGAGAAAGAGAGGCGAGGGGGGTGGACGGGGGAGAAGAGGGGGCAGATGGGGGAGAAGAGGGGGCGGGTGGGTGAGAAGGTGAAGGAGGAGAAGGAGGAAGGAAAGGAGGAGGAGGATGAGAAGGGAAGGTGCGTGAGGAGAATGAGGAAGAGGGCACATGGGGAAGCAAAGGTAGAATTGCCTTCACAAGGCACAACTGCGCAGCTTCTTTCCCAAGTCTCGGCGTGTCGGAACGGAGTGCGCGCGAGAGAGAGAGACGCATATTTTGTACATAGCCATGTCGGAGGCATGCAGAAGTGTGTTCCCCAGTTGTCTCCATAGCCCCCGAACCTGATCCTTTGATAAACCAGGACACTGGCGCGCCCGAGACAGTTGCAGCTGTGGGTCTAAACGTTCTCCATTGTTCGTCCTCTACAGGGGGAATGTCCGAGCTCATGTGTTGTTGGCAGTGTCCTGGTGCAGGGGGCCTCGACGTCTCGGGACAGCCCGCGAGTTCCTAAGTATCGTCTTCAGCGTGCTCGACGACATGAGGAAGAACCACGACAGAATCCTGCGGGAGAGCCAGTCGCGCCATGCCACCCTCGAGGAGCCTGCGGGGACACTCCGAGTGCTGCAGCGGTCTCGGGGGAGCGTTGGGGGCACCGCGGCGGGGCCCATTTCGATCCGATCGACCCGATTCGAGGAGGAGGAGAAGGAGGAGGAGCAGGAGGAGGAGGAGGAGGAGGAGGAGGAGCAGGAGGAGGAGCAGGAGAAGGAGGAGGAGGAGGAGGATATCGGTTCCGGTCGACCCGATTCGATTCGATTCCGATGTACGTGCGATCCGATGCGGCTCGATGCTTGGCATGGCGTCGTTGTGTGTGCATGCTGGCACCGACGATTCGAATTGATCCAGCTCTGTGCCGATGCGGCCCGATTCGATGCACGTCCCGATCCGATGCGAGTCCCCGACTCGACGCTGATCTGTTCTTGCCGAGGAGGGTCTGTGAGAGCTTCTTGAGTCAGGAGCCCACCTGCTGAGGTCGGAGTAGATGGGTTCGGAGGATCGCGCCACATCGCCGCTGCATGGCCGATGCGGCGCGATGTGGAGCCCGACTTTCTCCACGCCGACGGCGCTGAATTAGGCATCGCCGACGTCGCCGATACATCGCCGATGCATCGGCGATGCGGCGCGGTCCTCCGACCCCATCTACGCCGACCCCATCGAGGAGGCCTCTACATCGGCGCTACGACAGTTTTTCCACCAAGACTTGTTTTAGGCGGGAGCGCCGTTGCGAATTCGAGCTGAAGAAGTGGCGACCTCTACTTTTAAGTCGGGCCTGTCCCTCTACAGGAGGAATATTCAACAATAGTCCAAAAATAGTCTGGGAACGATTTTTTGAGTATGCTTTGACGATGTGGGAGTATGTTTTGAGTTCTCTTTTTTTTGCCCCAAATCCGCCTGTAGGGGGACATGCCCGACCTAACTCTACTTTCGAGGGACGTCCTGGGCGGCGACGCGATCCCGTGTGCAGTTTTCAGAGAGTTCTCGGCGGAAACGTCATGTCGAAAGGGAACCCGGAAGGCTCCGAATTTCGTTTCAGAGGAAGTCTTGGGCGGGAGCGCCATTTAGAAATCGAATCAGAAAGGTTTCGAATTTTAGTATGGAGGAAGTCTCGGGAGGGAGCTCATTTCGAGATTGAACCCGAAAGTTTCGAAATCGTTCGGAGTTGTTTTCTGAAGAGGTCTCAAGCGAAACCGTCGTTTCGAAAAGGCCACATCGTCTAGCATTTGAAATCTTGTATTTTTGACCAGAGATTTCGAAAGGGTGGGTTTCGCTTGAGACTTCTTAGCAAAAACAAGCAGTTTCGAACGATCTCGAAATTTCTGAAGATCGAAATGGCGCTCCCGCCCAAGGCTTCCTTCAAACAACGATCTCCACTGGATTTCGAAGCCATCGGGTTCGAATTCGAAAGGGCGGTTTCGCCCGAGACTTGGGCAAAACAATGCTTGAACGGTACATTGTACTGGGGCCCCGCGGCCTAACGAGCCCCTCTGACGTCTCCTCTCTTATCGCGGGCGCAGCGCCACTGACGGCGTCGTACTGGTGCCCTGTCGCCTTACGGAAGGCGCTGCATTTTGGCCGAACTTTCGTAGCGGCGAAGTACGGCCGCCGTGGCGGTGGCGTTGGCTACGGAACGCCCTTCCCGGGGCGAGGCTTTCGCGCGCGCCTTCTGCCGCTAATGTGTAGCGTGGGCGTTGCGTGGTCTCCCGCAGCTGCCATTAATCGACCACGAGCACCTTGATTCGGTTACCCTTGCCCTTCGAGACCGTTCCTCGAAGAAGAAACAACTGCATAAACATAAACTTGTGGCACTCCGCGCAGATTTCTTGGATTCGCGTGGACCCCCCCCCGGCAGCGCCTCCGGCGCCGCCCCTGGCGCGCTCCGCGCGCCAGGGAGGCGGGTCCAGCGCGGATCCAAGAAATTCGCGCGGAGCGACATAAGTTCACGTTTATGCGGATGTTGTCTTCTTCTATATTGGGAAGGCCTCAATTTCAATTGGTGCCGCCGACCCTGAAGGGGGACGACGACGACGGCGGCGGCGGCGACGACCACGATGCTGACGCTTTGGAGCCCTTCTTGGGGCTCCCTTGGGAGCCTCTTGGTCTCTGTTGGAGGGCCTCTTGGGGGACTTGTTGGGAAGGTCCGTGGTCACTTGGAGCCGCCTCGGAGCGCATCTGAGGCCTCCTGGAGTCATGTGGGAAAATACACAGCACCCCGCAACAGCAGGTACGAATGAGGAGGGTGCCTGAGGGGGGGGGGCGTCGGGAGGAAAGGGGAGCGGTGGTGGTCCGCGCCCCCTGGGGACCACTTCCCTTGCACCCCCCCCCCGGGGACCCCCCCCCTCGGGGCAGAGAAGGGATCGAAGGGAAGGGGCTTCCCTTCGAAGGAATTACGACGTTATTTGATTTCCGTTTGGCTGGATCGCTCGAGGAGGAAGAGGGCACAGGGAAAAGGGGGGAGTGGCGACGGCGATGACGACGACCCAAACGGGAACGGGTGGTCCATTAGTTAACACGTTGTACTGGCACGTGTGCCCACACGCTCGCCAGCCTAAGGGCCAAGCAACAGACTCGTCGGCCATATTTCACACACGCCATTCCACACTGCGCGTTGCCCAGACAACCCCAAGCCGTTATTCTAGTTCACATGGTCGTGCCAATTCTTGGCGATTATTTTTTTTGGTCGCGGCCGCGAGCGAAGAGCGCAGGCGGCGAAGAGAAGTCGTCCGGGCCGACGGGCAAACCTAATTGACTGCTGGGCGCTACTGAAACCGGCCAGGCCAGCTCACAGGGCGGCCGCTGGGCTAGCAGGGCGGGGGCTGGCTGGCTGATCGGGACCCAGGGAAGCCCGATCATCGTGCAGCCCAGAGCAAAATGCCAGGGAATTCATGTTACGCGCTGCGGCGTCAGACCACACGGATGGAGGTGCGGAAGCGGGTGAGTGACTTGCACGTGCGACCCTCTCAAACAGGGTGGTGGAGAAAGGTGAGGTATACGATGGCCGAGTCGCCAGGGGGGCGCCAAGGGCCAAGACCGTGCCGACGGCGTAGACCAGCCAGGTAAGCTGAGCAAGAACCGTGTCGACGGCGTAGACCTGCCTGATCGGCTAGGACGGAGCCAGGATGGAACCCTGCGTGCGACGGAAGGCTGAACCACCCCGAGGCGACCGCCAAACTCCAGGGGGCCCACAAGTCCCAGCACGGGCAACGAACCGGCCCTGAGGAGAGTCCTGTGGGCCCGGCCCATGGCCACACGCATGACATAGCGTCGTAGAGAGCCGCTTCTTGGCGATTCGCGTAGCCACATCAGCCCATGCAACAAAGATGCCCTGGCGATCTGCATGGATGGGGGAAGTGCGGGGGCACAGTGAAACCAAGAGCGAGGGCACGAGTCAAGCCGAATTTCGGTATCTGCTCGAGCAGGCCCAGGAGCCAGCCGTTGCTGCCTTGGCGGATCCTTCGATATTGGAATATCTTGGCAGCTCACCTGGGCCATTTGGGGGGCATTTGAGATGCATGTGGGGTCCTGTTGGAGTCCTCTTGGGCCTCTCTTGGAATCCTCTTGGGGTCGACCTGGTGGAGATCAGTCAAAGAAGAGGGCTCGCAATCAGGGCTTCCCTCTTGAGCCCCGAAAGTCGCCTCCTGGAGCGCTCTTGGGGCCGTATTGGAGCCCTCGTGGGCCCCTCTTGGGATTCCCTTGGGCCATGTTGGAGCCACCTCGAGGTCCGGGACGGCCATTGGAAGCGAAACGGCGAGAGTGTCAAACCCAGTTGTCTCCCTTAAGGCATTGGCAGGATGTTGACAATGTGTAAGCATTCATGGGAGGCTCCGTGGCCACTCGGAGACGGGAAAAGAAGGAAAGGTGGAGCTGTCAAGAGCGCAGGATCAGTAAGGGAAAGGGGGGAGAAAGCCGAGGCGACGGGAGCCCTGCACAGAAGAAAGAAAAATAAAGACCCCGGCTGGGCAAAGGTACAGTCAAGGCGGTTACATGAGGACCAGTTTGGGCTCAGGAGGGGCTATGGTTTTCGGGACCTCTGCGACGTCGAGGCTCTTCATGGCCAGAGAGGCCCCTCGTTCCTTATTCAGCGTTCCTTACGGTAGCACGAGGACTGTGGCCGGGAGGATAGCAGTTCTCCTGATCGGCGGCACCCCTTTGGCACGGCACCTCCTTGCCACGGTGTGGCACGGCGACCTTTTAGCACGAGGTCCGGATGTGAGTCTGGTATTCGCCATGTGGGCAGACCGTCCACTCCACAATGTGTTTTCAATCTACGAGTTGAAGTTCGTCGAGAACCGCCCCGCGTACACGACGAGCCCAAGCTTGATGCCCCATGTCTACACTGAATGGTGGCAGCCCAGGCGTGCCCAAACGTGATTGTGGCACACGTGGGGTGAGTGCAAACCGTGAGCTGGTCGCAGGACCTTACCACGGATGGGAACATGGAACTTGGGTTGGGAATCGGTTGGAACCCTCGCAGAAGACCGCGTCTAATGCGGTGAGACCTGACAACAATCATACGCACTGATTCGGACTACCTTACTGTATCGACGGTGCGTTCCAGAAGGCGACGCCAGCCTACCTACTTCAGTCCCCTTTCTTGGGCAAGTGTATGACGTCAATCGCCAGAATGATGAGGCTGTCCAGGGTGATTTCACCTACACGTCGGTGAGAGTCCAGGGCTCAGAGCTTGCTCCTGCCACAAGGCTCTTGACTGGGGCTGTCCGAGCGCATTCCGGAGAATTGGCCGAAACGTCTCCATTGAAATCGGTGTTAGTGTTTTGCTTGATTGTTCGTGGTATTGGTGTGCCGCATATCTAGCGCGTATACTCCCTGATGTTCCAGCGGTTTGGGTGTGAAGCGGGTGTAAGAGAGGCATGCTATATTCTGAGCGGGTTGCCTCAAGAAACGCAGGCGGGAGCCGTAGCCGAAGGTGCATGACATGCGCAGTTAAGAAAGCACACATCACTGACACCATGGCGCTCATTTGACATGCGTTCGTAGCACCGCATGAGCGCGGCTTGGTTGGGTCGCCCACCACTCCAACGACGCGTCACCGTCACTAGGAGAAGCGCCGGCGTGATCATTGCCTGGACAACGCGTCCTTGGGGATTTGATCGGACAAATTTCTTGGGGCCTAATTGGCCACGCTTCTTTTTAGGGTTCAGTTGGTCGCACCTCCTTCCCCCCTCCACCCCTTCCTGCGTCCATCCCACCAACCCCCTTCTCTCCCGCTCCCCCTCCGTCCATCCACTCTCTCTTCCCTTTTCATTCCCTCTTTCCCTCCACGGTTGGCTCTCAGAGGCCTGCGGAGGAGTTTCGGAAGCTTGTGTCCGTCACGGAGGCACGCCTCAGATCCCCGATGGCCAGATTTTGTCATAACGCGGGCCCCTAGAGGTTACGTTCCTTTCCAAGGGTTTGCTTTTCGTCCTGAATCGTTTTGCTGGCGGTCCTTGGGCCCAGCGGGGGCCGCCACGGGCCGGAACTTGGTGAAGTATTATCCTTTTGTGATGTCTGCTCTTTACAGCTGTTGCCTTCCGCTGGTGCGCATCGCCTCCGCCTCGCCGACGACAGAAAAACACATATTTTCGCCACGGACCAGGGGGGTCCGGCCACGACGCGAGGGGACCTCCCAGGGAGCCCCCCCGCCTGCGCGCGGCCAAGGAGCGCCTGGCTTTCGTGGAGAGCACCATCGGCGACTCGGCGGACCGGCACGCGGGCGCGCTCGACGCGCTGCGGCAAGCCCACGGCGAGCGGCCCGCGCAGCTCTCGTCCGCCTCCGGTCTCCCCGCCGCCTCGCGGGGTGCTCGGGCGGAGCTCCAGCTCGGGCTGGGGCTCGGGCTGGTGCTCGGGTTTGGATTCGAGTTCCTCCTCCTCCTCCTCCTCCTCTTCCTCCTCCTCCTCCTCCTCCTCCTTCTCCTTCTCCTCCTCCTCCTCCTCCTCCTCCTCCTCCTCCTCCTCCTCCTCCTCCTCCTCCTAGTCCTACTCCAAGTCATACTCCTACTCCTACTTCTCCTCCTCCTCCCGTACCATGTCGGCGCAATTTCGAAGCCTTGTCGAGAGGTTTCGAACTTGCCCGCAGCCGTGCGGCAGGCCCGAGTTATTGCGGCGTGGTTTTTGAAACAGGGTCTTTTGGCCAAGGGTTCCCGACTCCATCAGCATGTCTTCCTCGCAGTGCTTGCAATGTCGGCACTGCGGTTACACATGGAGTTGGCGCTCGAGGGAGAAGTGTTACCAGTGTGACTGTGCGCACGAGCCCCCGACGACGTCCCAGCGGGCGCCACAGGGGCAATGGGCGATGGCTCCGCCAACGCAGGTCATGACCAACGCGACCGCGCCGCCGCCTCCCCCGTGGACGCCGCCGCCGTTGCCACCCATCCAGAGCCACCCACTCGCGAACCCCATGCGTTCGCCGCTCGGCTCCGCCATGCCTCCCAGGCCATCGGTCCCACCGCCGCCGTTGCCTGACTCATGGCGGGGAGTGTCCGCGACCAGTGGCAGAAGACGAAGAAGAAGAAGAAGAAACATCAGCAACAAGAAGAAACAAGCGAAAGGCGACTCCGAGTGGATCGATCTGGACGCTGGGGACATCGCGCTGACTGACGCAGTCCAGGTTCTTTCCTAGCGCGTCGACCAGGCTGCGCTCACATCCGTGAAGGAACAGGTTGCCAAGTCAGCCCCCAAGCCCGCGCCACCCGAGCTGCCAGAGGTCCAACTCCAGCGCGCGGCCAGGGCGGCGAGGGGGGCGAAGTCCAAGTATGAGGGCGCTTTGAACCGGGTCAACAAGGCCCAAGCGCAGCTCGACAATTCCCCCAAAAACTTGCAGGACACGTCCGCGGCCCTGGCAGCCGCCGAGGCGGCGGAGGAGGAGGCGCGCGCCAACCTGGCGCCGCGCCCCACGGCGGCCCCCCAGGAGTCGAAGGAGGAGTCCGGCATCGACCTCGCGGCGCTGCTCGAGGGCGGGCCATCAAGATCACCGAGGGCGACTTGCCACAGCTAGGCGCCAGGCTCGAGGAGCTTGGCGACGGCGCCGAGACAGCCATCGAGCATTGGAACACCCGCAAGCAGCAGCTCGGCGCCTTTATCCAGCAGTTGGCAAAGGATCACTTCGCTGGCCGCGCAGGTCAAGTCCAATATCGATGGCCTTCGCGAGCTGAAGGCGAGGCTCGTCAGTCACATGCGGATAAAGACCAACGATGGGCAGGCCGCATCAGGCGCCCCAGCGGTCCCCTCGGAAGGGGGCCCGACGATATGAACGACCTCGGCGATGTCATCGCGAAGGCAGGTTGGCGCCCTGCGCCGTCTCCAGCGATGCCCAGGGGCCGCGCGCCGAAGGCTGGCGGCGCGCCGATAGCAGCCATGCGCGGCCTCGACGCGAGCTCCCCCGCCCACCCGGCGCCCGCCGTTGCCCAGCGTTACGGCGCCAGCGACGGCGACGAGAAGGAGCTCGGCCACGGCCCCGTGGACTTCCACGATTTCCCTGCCACGAGTACCCGCACCTCTTGACAGCATGTCGCGTTGGCCCAGGTGAATCCTGATCGCGGAGTCGGAGGAGTTCGAGGCAGGAACCCACGGAAGGCGCGCAACATTGGCGGGCCCCCGCCGGCACGGGCCGCCCCGCGGATTGCTTTCGGCGATCGGCGCGTGGAACCCTCAGATTTCGAAACATGGACGGAGAAGCTCGTCGCAGCCCAGATGCATCCAGAGTGCGTCGCCGTCGCCAGTTTCGCTGGAGAGGGCATGCTCTACGATTTCGCTGTCTGCGCCAAGTGCCCTGCCCCGCTCGCCGGGAGCGTTGTCTCTGCCATGGGCGGAGAATAGATGGCGCGCGCAGATTTGCAGATCACGCTCGGCCCGAACCCTTCCGACGCCGAGCACCGCGCGCGCGCGGGGCCCGGGCCCGTCCCGCGCCTTGTTTTGCGCGAGCGCGCGCGCGACCCATTCAGCAAAAGCGGCCTTCTGAAGAAGGGCGAAACAGCCCCGTGCAAACCAGTTGCCCCGATGCCCAAGAGGCCTAGGCGCGGGGCGGCGGGTGCCCCAGGATTCGGGGACTCCGAGGCCCCCTCTGACCCTCTGCCTCGGGAGCTGCGCCCGATGAGGATCGCGGTTTTCCCGGGGTAGGCCCGGCCCCAGAGACGCCCGAGTTCCAGGGGCCGCCCCTTCGTGGATTTCGCCGGTGATATCGTGGATTTCCCTGGGGTTGGCCAAGCACCCGAGGGGCCCGCGCCCCAGCCGCGGCCTCCTCCTCCCGGCCCTTTTCGCCCCCCCGACTTCCTCGCGCAATTCCCCCCGCCCGACGCGCGCCGCGCGGCGGACGCTTTGGATCGCGCCCGCTTTGGCCAGCGAGCGCGGCGAGAGATCGAGCGAGGGGCCCCTTTCGGAGATCTGCGACTGTCTAGGGTGTCTGGCCGACCCTGTGGCCTCTTAACAGCATGCCGTTAAGTTTGGCACGTGGGCCTCGCGCATTGGGAATTTGCATTGCGAAGCTTGCGCTATTCCGCCGGGCGCCCAGATTGCGCCGACAGGCAAAGGCGCCGCGCATCTCATTAAAATCAAGCCTATAAGCAGGAGGCCCGCCCCGCTACAGTCGGCCCACGCAGCTTGCAATTGGCGGGCCGCGCTCAATTCCCATCTTTCGTGGCTCGGCCGATTTCGAGAAAAGTCGGGTTCCAATTTGCGCCAGTTGCATGGCAAGATTGCACCCCTGGCCGCTAGGATTCCCGAATTAACGCCTCCCTCCATAGATCGCGCCGTGCCCACCTCTTGGGGCGAGCCCTCGAGGAGGGCCCGCGCTCGCCGCCCAAGCTGATTTTCTTTCTCGCCGAGGAGGCAGATCGGAATTTCAACTCCGTTTCGCAGTCACAGACGACGCATTGAAAGGTCCCCCCAGCTTGGCAGACAGATCCAGCAGCCTAGGAGGCCCCCACAAGCTGACCAAGCCCAGGCCCCGTCAGGCGAGCAAGGCCCAGGGCGAAGGAAGTCTTCCCACGCGCGCCTCCTTAGACTCGACGGATGCACGCGCGAAGCCGCGGCTCAAAAAATGGGCCAGGCAAGACGCCGGGCAACAGCTCGAGCAGACTAGCAAGCACGAGCGCCCTGGAGCCCCCCCCCCTGCCCCCATTGGACCTCGCCCGGTTAGATCGCATCCCCGGGGCACTCCTGGGCGAAAGTCACGAGGATGCACCAAAATCAATGCTCAAGATTGTCCCAGGCAGCCGCCATCCGCTCGGTCAGAGCTCCTAGAAGTCCCCCAGCAGATGGCAGCCTTAGTTGCGCGGCCGCGGCACATGCCCCGAGCTCGGGTTGCCCACCTCCCCGGAGATTCCGGAGCAAACCGCGGCATGGCTAGTTTTGTTTGCGTCGCCCGCTTCTGGGAGCAGGCGCGAGAGGATTGCCCTGACAAGCGGGCTCTCGCTCGTCAGCGAAGGGCGAGTTTCGACGACGCCGCCAGAGGCAGCTCGGCCGTTCGAGCTGCCTTGCGCCGTTTGGTGGTGGACGAGAGCACCGCTGTGCACATCGCCACCGCACCCGCCCTCTTAAACGTCGATGGCTCCCATGACGGTGCAGGCCCAGTGCTCGCTTTAGAATTTGGCATCGAACAACGTTATCCCTGTGTCGTGTTCGCCCTAAGCATCCAGCTACACCTTCCCCCGAGGTGCCTGGGGAGCCTGCGCTCTTTCTCGGGTGTTATCACGCCCTGGTAAGCGTTGCTCGCTGGATCTAGGATGGCCCCGCACCTCGCGATGCGCGCGCTGATGGACCTCATGACATGGGCCGACGACGCCAATTGCAGAGCCGGGGGCAAGATCGATTCGGCCATTGCTCAGATCGTGGATTCCCGGCAAGATCTCAAAGCAGGTCTCGGCAAGATCAGGCTGACTTTGTCCAGCAATCACAATGTCATTGCCTCGTCGTCGCCAAAACTACAAATGTGAGTGCCAGGCTAGATAAGCTAGGCACCGCTGTTTAAGCTGCAGGCAGCTCGCCAGGCCCCGTGATTGACCGAGGCCATTATGCGCATCGCCGAAGCACCCGAGGCCTCCAGAGGTGGCGCACTGCGGGTGCGACGAGGCCTTCGGACTGCATCGCCCCGTTCCCTCGAGCAGCGGATCAGACGCAAACTTGTTTTAAAACAGGAGCTGTTCCCCAAGCCATGCGCGAATCCAAGTGTTTCGGCGTCGCGCCAGGGAGGCCCCAAAGGCTTCGACAAGCCGCAGGCCGTGCGGTCTGGGAACAAGAACAGGGCCACTGCCTCACTATTCTTTTAGCTCTCAGGTTTGGGTCCATGGACCCAGCGGCGGTTTCGGCGTTAGACACGTCGGCGGAGTGGTTCCGTTTTTTGTTAAACGCGACGGGGCCCCGACTGGGCGCTTCTAAGCCGAATGGCCACATCAACGCCATCCCAGCCAACCGCAGATGTTTCCATGCACGAGGCTTCCTTTCAGCTATCATCACCTCTTGCCTCTATCTTGGATGGGACACGCCTGGGCCCCTCGAGCGGCGTGACCCATTCGAAGAGCGCCGGGGGGCCCCCGACTGATCCCCCCACCGTCTTCGCTTCCCTCGACCCCTCAGACGCGCCGCCCGCCGCCCGCGCCTCCGCGGATAGGGAGCTGCGGGCAGGGGCGCCCGCCCAGCACCTGGGGGGAGATATGGAGGATGGCGTCGATCTGTTCAGTTTGCGCAGGCAGCGAACTAAACCCCATAAGCCCAGGCGCGAGCGAGGGCCGCCATCGAGCGCGCAGCAGCAGCAGCAGCAGCAGGCACGAGGCCACGGCAGCGCATCGCAGAGTGCGCCGCGGGAGAGTTCGACCCCGCGCGTCCCAGATGCCACCGGGCACCAGAGACGCTTCGTCACCGAGTCCGGCAATGCCCTGAAACGCCGACGCCCCAGAGCGTCAAGACATGCAAGATGCTAGTTGAGGCAGCAGAGGTGGCCCTCGAACAGCATTCGAATGTTTGTTCTTGGCTCCGAGGCATGACCCCGCCAACCCTCGTGCCCGCCCCCGACCCGCCCGGCGCAGCTGAGCTGCGCGACGTGAGCTGCCCATCTAGTGATGCTGGTGGCGATGCTGCCCCGGAATGTCGCTCGGCCCCCAGCTGATATCGCAGGTCGCCTTGTCGCGGGCAATGGGTCCCGGGGCGCGAGTGCCGAGGGCCCGCGGCTGAGGTGTCGTGCCCGGGCGCGGGCCGAGCTCAACCCGAGTGGCGCGGATGCGGAGGTGTTGCGCCGCAGGAGTGCCCCTCCAGCTGGCCGCAGGCAGACCAGTAACAGAGCCGAGATTTGGGCTTTCATTGATTGTTTGCAGCAGCTCCCTGGGGACCTGACCTACCTGCGCGATTCTGGCTACGCTGTCCGAGCTTGGTTTAAAGTTTCGGCGGGCGGCCAGCCCAAGGCTAACCAGGATGCGCGATTGTCCTTGGCCCAGGTGCTTCATGCCAGACCTGGCCAGGTCAACATCATGAAAGTTGACAGCCGCGCGAGCGCAGACCGCTTTCGTGCTGGCGGCCTCCCTTAGCAGTTTCGTTGACTCAAATCGAGGCAGACAGGATCGCTGAGAAGGAACCACGGCAGTGCCAAATTGACACTGGTACTGCCCAGAGTGCGAGCGCCATCGGTACCCTTGCCGAGCAAGTTCGGGCCCGTCTGGCCGCCTCTCAGCGCTCTGTTGTCAACGACAGTCGCGGACAGCGAGAGGGCCAAACCGCTCGCGGGCGTTCGGAAAAGCTGGCTTGAGTTCCCTTGAGAAGGCTGCCTGGCCCCCCGCCCCCCCCGCACAGACAGCCTTCAAGCATTGGGATCTCGGTTTACTTGCAGGTTTTGTCACCAGAGGCACTCCAAGGAGGGCTGGTGCGCACCGATCGATTATGTTGCTGCCCCCTCCCCCCGTCCTGCTCCGCTCCAGATCGGGAATCAGATCATCGCGCGGCACCCTGGGAATGGGCCGTTCGGTTCTTCTCGCCCAGCCCTTTCGACCCGCCCCGGAGAAAGGAGTCGCGAATCTCAGGGGGCTGGCGCAGGGCTTCATCTCAGGCGCGAGCGCCCGAGCCAAGGCCTCAAAGTTCAAGGCCAAGGCGCGGCCCCCTTGAGAGAGGGGAGGGGCCCCTCCCCCTCCCTCCGCCTCTCCCCCTGGGCCCAGATGAGCGCTCGGAGCAAGTCTTCCTCCTCCTCCTCCTCATTATTGTCCAATTCCTCCTCCTCCTCCCCCCCGCCGCCTCCTCATCCCCCTCCTCCTCCTCCTCTCCTCCTCCTCCTCCCCTCCTCCTCCCCCTCCTCCTCCTCCTCCTCCTCCTCCGCCTCCTCCTCCTCCTCCCTCTCCTCCTCCTCGTCCTCATCCTCACCGCCCTCCTTCTCATCCCCCTCACCCGCCATCGGCAGGGCCAGGCTCGGCTCGGGCCGCAGTCTGGGCAGCGCCTGCGGCGCGCAGTGGGGCCCGTAGCCTCGCGGAGGGGTCTGGTCACGGCCGAGCTCTGTCACGAAGGGATAGGGAGGCGGATGACAGGGTTTCTGCCGCGAGCGAGCCGCGTTGAGCTGACACCTCTGTCGTTGGGCGGCAATCGCGCGATTCATCCCCAAGGCCTGGTCGGAGGCGACGGGGGATCTGAGGCGGGCATGGGGCCAGGGGCGGGTTCGCGAGTCAGCGCCGTCGAGCGTCGTCATTTTCGGCGGCCTTGGATTCGGAGTCGCGCTCCACAGCGGGCTCGCGCTCGCGAAAAGGAGCGGAACACTTGTACCCAAGCAACACGTTACTGCCAGCGCGTATTTCCTCGGGCGGGAGGGGTACTCCGAGAGCAGACTCTTGCTTCTGACCACTTGCGTTGTCCCCCTCCCCCCCCTCTCCTCCCCCTGTACATTTCTCCTCTATGTTGTATTTGCGCGGGCGCGGGCGCGCATCGGGTTCTCCCACCGTTCAAGTCGGCTCACCCCTTGCGCTCGAAGCGGGAAGAGAAGATGGAGCCCGCCCCCCCATCCATCCCCTCGCCGCCACAGCCAAAGGACCTGGGCACCCACAGCAGCAGCGCCCATGCACCCGGCCACGGAACCCAGCCACCGACGCTGGTGTTAGTCGTTCCAGCGGACAGAGTCGAAGACGTTCCTGGTCGTTCCATTACACGTGCGCGTTTCTTTCCCTGCCTCTGGCGCCACGTGGCGCGGCTGCTACTGCGGATGGTTTGCGTGTGGTTGCGCTGGTGCTGCCCCTGCGTGATGCCGTGGTTACTCATCGTCATATGTTTCGTCCGTGTCTTGCCCCTCCTCCTCCCCACGCCGTTGTTTCTTTGGCGCCCAGGGACAGCCGCGTTCAGAATTGTGGTTGCGATGTTGCCCGCGCGGCCGTACAGTGGGAACCCAGGCCAAGAAACACCCTGCTTGCCTCAAGGGTGCCCTGAGTTTCTTGGGTTTCGACGGTTTAGTTATGGGAAGCGCGACGTTCCCAAGGCAAAAATCAATGGACGTCCTGGGGTCTCAAGGTTGCGTTGTTTGTGGAAGGTTTCTTGTGGTCGGGTCCCTTCTGTATTGCACGCTTGCAGCCTGCTTCAGGCAAGCACGCCCGGGACTTGGAGACCTTGAGGGGCATACACGACAAGCACGCGTCTCTCACCGACCGCCTCAGCGCGGTCGAGAAGGTGTACAAAGACACCATAAATCAG